ATCCACAGAATGAGAACTATTAAGATAGTCTAAGATTAGACTCAGAACATACAGAAAACTCCATGCACCCCCCCAAAACTATTTAATAACTATCTGTAGAAATGACATTTCTTATGAATCCGGTGGCTTTTCACGGTAATAGACTTACATTCCCGATCTCGAAGTTCTGTCTCATCAGCAGGTACAGGGAGGCGCTGGCATGGGAGCGGATGGTGCCGATGCTGCTGCTGCAGTGTCGGAGCAGCCGCAGGCACAGGTCCGCACACTGCTCCGTCTCCTCCTCAAATAGGAGCTCAGGGAACTGCAAGGAAACCCCAGCAACACTGACTCAAAGATAAGGTGATAATGGAACCAGAACTGGAAACCTGTAAGTGCCGCACAGAAATCAGAAGGACGCTAGGATAGCTCATGGTCAGCAGCAGGGTCGCAGAGACAGACCGACTGGGTTTGATTACTGATTATGCCACTTATGCACCAGTCATTTGACCCTGGACCAACTGTCTCATCCATAAGATGGGCCTAACTATATTATTGATGGGATGGCTTTCATCGAATAATGTGCATAAAACAATAGAGTAAACCACATACATGAACCCTACGTTTTTATTATATTATAAAATAGCGTATCAGGTATTTTATACCTGCATCTACACTCTGCGTCCGTTTTTAGGATGACAGATGAAACAGCTCCCTTCAAAACTGAGGAATATACACATTTCCAGGGGACACAAACACGGGACGTAAATATTTGAAGCAGATGCACACACAGAAATACCTTCTTTTCCGTTCAAAACACAGGATAAACTGATTCCCCTGGGTTGGATGGCTTATACACTGAATTCTTGATAAATTGAGTTTAAAAAAATACAGAAAAAAGTGAAAACAAGCAAAGTCTCAAATTTAAGACAAGCTATTAATGTCAGGCCCTTCTCCACATCAAAATTAGTATTGTTTAAGCCAGAAGCTGGTTACAAGGGATTGAAATAAATAAGAAATTCCAAAGACAGACAACAGTCGAGAGGCAAAGAAGAATTGAGGGTCTTAGGTGACTGCTAAAGTGGTAACTACACGGGATTAACCGACGCATGTGTCAGATAATCTTAGACAATGTTAATAAAGCCCGCAGAGCCTGAGGACGCTGCAGGTGCGGTGTGACCCACCTTGGAGACCAGGGCTCTCTGGGTGGCAAAGCAGTGCTGCAGGTAGACGGCACTCTGGTTGCAGGCCATGCTGTGCAGCAGCACTTTCAGCACCCCGCCGAGGATACTCTCTTTGGATTCTGTTACGGAAACTGTCTGAAGTTTAAAAATAAATAAAATGGAGATGTAGCTGTAACTGGGTTAGGGAGCTAGAATACAC